TTAGTTTCATCGTCTAGTTTATAGCGTGCTTTGTCCATCCTTCGTTGGCTGTTTGAATTCCCAGATCTTAATCTTTGATTGGAGTTTACATTTTTAGTGGCTAGTTTTATCGCGTCATGTATGTTTGTAGTTAGTATTTTTACTGCGTCGTCAATATCCAGTCCCGAGTGAATTTCCGTGTTTAAGTTTATGGTCTGTTCCAAGTGCTCTTTTACTCTGTTAATATTTGTTTTCTTTGTAATTAGTCGTCTGCCTATAGAACTTTGGGTGAATGTGTCGGCCCCATTTGTACACATTTCGATGGTTATTGGCAGGTGATCGGAGTCCAGACTGCTACATGAATGGATTTTCATCCTATTTACTGTAATACCCCCACAAACTGCAAAGTCGATGGCTGAGGGTCTTTTTCTGCTGTCGTATGGATAGTGGGTGGCACCTCCTGTGGCCAGGATGTTGTATCTGGCTCCAGAGCTCACAGCTTGCATCAGGGCACGTCCTCTCCTACAGGATCTGGGGTTCCCCCACCATGGATGCTTAGCATTCCAATCTCCGCAGCAAATGAACCCGGAGGTACCCCCCAATATGTTGTCAAAATGCAGGAGTAGTGATCTGAAATGATTCTCAGTCCAATTGAAGTTAGGTGGGCAGTACGTCGGTGCAACCACGATCATGTTTCTCCTCTTGTTGTTTATTGGGATTATTACAATTGGGGTACATTGAAGGAAATCGGTGCTAATGGGTTCCAGTGCAGCATGTCTAACATTTTCTTTCACATATACCACGACCCCCCCTTTTTTGTGGTTTATAGGATTGGCAGTGTGGTATGAGATATAGTTTGGTATTTTCAGTAGGTCAGCGCTCTGTTTAGTTCTAGTTTCAATAACCATCATAATTTGTATGTCCCCATTTGTCATGAATGTTTCAAGTTCAGCCATTTTATTTTTGATCCCACAGGCGTTCCAGAAAGCTATTTTAAGCCTGTTGGAGTTGGGCAGGTTTGCCCCGGTCGTGTCAAGAGTTTGTGGCGGAAAGTGATTGGAATGTGGGAAATGGTTTGCGTTATTATTGTTTGTGTTCATGTCTGTAAATTATTGGCTAGTTTAGTTAGATATAATGTATAGCAATGAGTTGTTTTATTGTTTGTTTTCTATTTGATTGAGGATATTTGTTGTTTTGTGATGTTCAGAATTGTTTGTAGTGTTATTTATATTGTCAGTATTTTTGGGGGGAGGGTTTTGCAGTAGAGTGTGAATTTGGCTAATTGACGCCATGATGTCCTTAATACTGAGCTCAATTACATTGAGCCTGTCTTCAAACCGCTTGTTCTCCTGTTCAGCGGGGCCCTCTGTCATTACTTTTGCAGACTGCGAGATCGCCATCTGCTCCTCCCTCAGTCTACTCTGGAATTTCTCTAGGTGGCTGGCGGCTGGGTTGACATTCGTGTCACCGGTTTTTGGAGCCCGTCCCTTCCCTATTCTGTCCTTCTTATGGCTGGATGTTTGCTTGCTCCTTTCTCGGTTTCTCATCTTAGAAAGCCTTTTTTTTATTTCAGTGCTGTGGAGGCTCGGCTTGGGTTGGACTGTTCTGCCTGAGAAAGGGTTAGTGAAACCCCTCCCTGGAATTTTCCGCCCTTCGACATAGTCGCCCTCATCCTTTCGATGGTCACCTGCAGTAGTGGGGCCCCCTCTGTTTGGTTGGGGGTGCCTGGAGATCTCCTCCCATACACTCGGCCTCCCTAGTGCCTTCCCTATGCTCCTGTCCATATTGACAATTTTGTCGATTTTGAGCTTGCTTCTGGCAGCTTTGAAGGCCGGGCAACCCTTAAAACAACTGACATGCTCTCCGCCGCAGTTAACACATTTAGCAGGAGTGTATCTGGGTTTGGTGCATGTAGTTGAGAGATGGTCACTGGCGCACTTCATGCACTTGGGTGCGTTTTTACAGTAGTTCCTAGTGTGTCCGTAGGCCTGACATCTATGACACTGAAGCGGGTCCCTAGTCACCCATTTCCTCTCAAAAGCCACTGCCTGTCCACCTAGCTCGGAAATTTTTAAGATTTCATCATGAGAACCGTCCTGTTTATGCTCAATTTCAATTTCGAACATATTTATAGGCTGACCTGTAGACCTATGTTTCATATTGCTGGTGTATCTCACGATGTAGTGCCTTTTTTTAAGCTCAGAGGAAATCCACTCCCTTGTTGTTGAGTAATGCAAGTGTCGAAGTATATATCGAACACCCCGCTGCCCAATCTGCTGATGCGTGTGCATTGGTACTTTTTGGTCGTTGAGGAGTGTGGTGATCTTTTTATGGGCATCCATGTCAGCACATTGTATTCTGATCCCATTCCCAGGGGTACTTTTGGTTGTAAATCTACCTATTCCTGCTGTGTAGTTTAGTTTTTCCAAAAGAGGTACTATTGTTTTTACTCCTGAGATGTAAATGGAAGGTACCCTCTTACTCCTTGGCACTTCCTGCCATGGGAATAGGTCAGGCTGCTCAATCTGATCAGTATTGTTGGCAGTGAGCATTTCGCTGTGCATGCTAATTGGGGGAAGTGGCTGTCGTTGAAGATTGTTTGGCCCAGAACTGTCTTGGAATTCCCCTGTGTCAAGATCTTTCGTATTGGAAGGTTGTGTTAATGGCTGATTTGTCTTTGTAGGGTTAAGAATTTTAATTTTATTGAATTCTGAGGCAAATCTTTTGGCAGTGTCACTTTTGAATTTAGGGGTGTTGAAATCAAGATCTTGTTTTGGTAATTCATGAAAGGATTGGTCCTCGTCTGTGGTGTCCATTTCTCTATTTTGCCTTTTTCCCGGGGTATAGTTGGGGGCTGAGAAGACAGCCATGTTAGGGAGCGTGGTTGCTGGTATATCGCTAAGCCAATTATTTATGATGTCGTTACTATTTTCTAGCTCAGTCAGAGGAGGGGATTGGGTGATAGTCATACTCGTACGGGATGCCGGGGTCAGGGATTCTAATAGACTCTTTTTTGCTTTGATATTCGTTTTAGGAGACTTATTTTTATTTTTGGAATTGTTTGTTTTAGGTTTAGAATTGTTTTTATTTTTGTCAATATATAGATATGAATTGTCAATGGTTTTATTAGTGGCTGCATGTATTTGATCATCAGCAGCAACATCGTCAGCAACATCGTCAGCAACATGTCTATAATCTGTATCAGCAACATTAATGAGAAGCGGGTCAGTAAGCTCTCTCGCCGCAACATGTTGCTGGCCGTGTCGCTGTCGGGTGGAGAGAGAGAGATGATATCGTGCTCCATTTTGGAGAGTTTTCTGGAGCTTGATTTTGGAGCCGTTTCCCTGGACATCTACCGCAGGAAGGTGGCAGGCTCGCCGATCAGGCACTTTTTCAGGGAAAGTGCCGTCCTCATTGAGTGACTCCCAGGAACAAGATGGATCAACGGACATTTCGTGGAGAGGAGATGGATCTCCCCGTGCCTGTCTCAGCCCAGTTCTCTGGGGGGAGCACCCATCAAGCTCCGAGCTAGAGCTGGAAGAAAGTGTGATGCACGCACCTGTCAGATCCAGTTGAGCAATGGTTGTCTTGTCTGTTTGGTGGCTGGTCTCCATTTTCTTCTCTTCCTTCTCTTCCTTCTCTTCCTTTATGCACTTTGGTCTTTGGTCCCCCATTTTTTCTTCCATGTAGTCAGTTTTCCAATTCCTCGGTACCACTACTTTCCTTGCTTTTATTTGCTTTTCTTTAATACTTTTAATGGCCTTTACTTGTATATAATTTTATTTGATTTTTTGATTTATTTTGATGTTTATTTGTTTTTTTGATGTTTAAACTTTTGATTTTTTGATGTGAAATTTTTTGATTTTTTTTGATGTTTAAACTTGCTCATTTGATGTTTAAACTTGCTTTTTTTGATGTTTAAACTTGCTCAGGGCACTTAGTGTGACCTGACGCAATCTTTATTAATGTTCCTATTACTTATTAGCAACATTTAACATTATTTATGGAAACTTACAAATTTTTTTAAGATTTAGGTATTTTTTTTTTACATTACGGTAACATTGATAAAATATACAGAAAAATACTAACAGTTATCGATGTAAACAAGTTAAGATTGGCTTGTGTTTTCTTTTTCTTTTTTTTTTTTGACTTAGGTGTATAAAATTTTGTAACGCCGCTCCTGGACCCCTCATCCGGTGCGAAACGGAGGCATGGACGACAGGGAGACCTCCAAAGCATCGGCAACGCAAGCGCGGCATCGCCTCGTCCCTCTTTTCCTGGCCGAATCCAGTCGATGCAATTCTAGGAAGAACGCACGCATATGCTTCTTTCTGTGGATGAATAGGAAACTCCTGGCTGATTTTAATATTATTTTATTTTCAGGTTTATGTTTTGTTTGTATTTTATTTGCAGGTTATTGATTGGTTTGTTTGGAAGCTATCGTAGTAAGTGAATTAATTTGCGTTTTGGCTGATTATTAAATGTATTCTATTTGCAGGTTCATTTGGTTTATTTGGAGTTTTGCGTTGTATTTGGTAAGCGAGTCTATTTCTGTTTTGGCTGATTTTGATTGTATTTTATTTGCAGGTTTTGATTGGTTTGTTTGATGGCTATCGTAGTAAGTGAATTGATTTGTGTTTTGACTGATTATTAAATGTATTCTATTTGCAGGTTCAATTGATTTATTTGGAGGTTTGCGTTGTATTTGGTGAGCGAGTCTATTTATGTTTTGGCTGATTTTGATTGTATTTTATTTGCAGATATTGATTGGTTCGTTTGGAAGCTAGCGTGGTAAGTAAATTAATTTGTGTTTTGACTGATTTTAATTGTATTTTATTTGCAGGTTCAATTGGTTTGTTTGGAGGTGTGCGTTGAATTTGGTAAGCGAGTTTATTTCTGTTTTGGCTGATTTTAATTGTATTTTATTTGCAGATTGTGATTGGTTTGTTTGGAAGCTAGCGTGGTAAGTATATTAATTTGTGTTTTGACTGATTTTAATTGTATTTTATTTGCAGGTTCAATTGGTTTATTTGGAGGTGTGCGTTGAATTTGGTAAGCGAGTTTATTTCTGTTTTGGCTGATTTTGATTGTATTTTATTTGCAGATTGTGATTGGTTTGTTTGAATGCTAGCGTGGTAAGTAAATTAATTTGTGTTTTGACTGATTTTAATTGTATTTTATTTGCAGGTTCAATTGGTTTATTTGGAGGTGTGCGTTGAATTTGGTAAGCGAGTTTATTTCTGTTTTGGCTGATTTTGATTGTATTTTATTTGCAGGTTTTGATTGGTTTGCTTGGAGGTGATTTGGTAAGTGGTTTAAGTTATGTTTTGGCTGCTTTTAATTAGTTTTATTTGTAGGTTTATACTTTCTGGATTTTTGCTGTACCATTGGATCAAGTCTTAACCATTCGGCTGGAGGACGCCTTCTCCTACATCCCCTCTGTGGTCTGGCACTATAATTCTTTGTATACCCAATGGTTGGCCCCTGATTCTTTCAAGTATTGTTTCCCTAGTAAATTTCCCTTGAGCATACATTTTTCTGTACACGTTTATTTGTAGTTCGCAGAATCTGTCCGGGTGTTTGTATGGTTTTTTCTTCCGTTCGGCCTCTCTATTGTCCATTTTAGCCTTTTCCAGTCTTTCCTGTTCTTCATTTTCTAACCTCAGCAGAGTAGGAAGTCCTTTCCTCAGGATGGGTACATACTTCTCTGCTATAACTTTGCGTTCAGCTTCGGAATAGTATCGAGTAGGATCCAGATCTGGATTTGGTTGTTCTTGACGTTGTCCATTACAACGCGGGAGGATAAACTTCCGGAGTTGATTGTCATATCTGTGGCGGCTAGATTTCAATCTATTAGGGACATGGGGGTTGGTCAGCAGTCTGGCCACTTCGGAGTTTGAGTGATCCACAAGTGAATTAGCGAGACGGCCGCTAGCCTTCTCGTAAACCTCCTCGACAGTTTTGATATTGTATACACTTCTGATATTGTCGTTTCTTGTATATATTGTGGCCCTAACTGCCCTCCTCACTAGTTTGTTTTGGAGTGTTTGTATCTTTTTCACTAATGAGTCAGAAGCCAGGGCACCCCAGACTGGAAAAGCATAAAACCAAATTGGCATGATTAATTGTTTTAGGATCGTCACTTTGCATTCTTTGGCAAGCCGGCTTTTGCAGCCAATAATCCAATCAAGTTTAATTGACGCAGTTCTTGTCTTATTTATAATGGCTTTGACATGGTGGTTAAGGCTAAGTTTCCTATCGAGCGTAACCCCAAGATACATTTGTTTGAATTTGTTAGGAATTCTTTGTCCATTTAATTTAGGCGTACTTTCTTGCTGTGTTTTGCTAAGTTTATTCAGTGTGAAAAATACGTGGGCTGTTTTCTTTTCGTTAATGCCCATTTCCCATTTTTTAGCCCAAACACTGAACTTATTTAAATATTGTTCGTTCATTTTTGCCGCTGTCAAGGGGAAGTCCGCTCTGCTCATGATAATTGTGTCATCTGCATACGTAGCTAACATTCTGTTTTTTTCCCTTAGTACCGGTATCGAAGTGGGGTGATATCCATTCAAGCAGTTTGGTAGCGGAACGTCAGATGAGTAAATGCTGTATAGAAGTGGACCTAAATTGCTGCCCTGAGGAACCCCGGCTTTTATTTTTCCAATTCTCGATGTAATACCATTGTTGGTAATTACTTCGAAGGTCCTTTCACTTAGGTAGCTTTCTAGTAGCTTGAAGGCCTGAAGAGACACCAGTTTTGATAGCTTATATAGCAAACCGGTGTGCCATACTCTATCAAACGCTTCAGATATATCTATAAAAACAGCTGAGCAGTATTGTTTTTCTTCGAAGGCCCCCATAATGAATTGCGTTACTCTTGCTAGCTGTTGTTCAGTGGCATGTTCTTTTCGAAACCCAAATTGATGTGTGGGAAGGGCTCTAGAGAAATCCTCAAAGTCAAATAATCGTTTAATAAAAAGTTTTTCAAAGGTTTTAGCTAATCCAGAAAGGAGACTGATTGGGCGATAGGATGTTACCGACTGAGCAGGCTTATTTGGCTTAAGAAGTAATGTGATTGTGGCGTGTTTCCAAGCTTGCGGGAAGTGACCCAATCTCAGCATTGAGTTGAAGATCAGGAGAATATATAGTAGGGCTTTCTTTGGGAGAGCCTTGATTAACACATTGTCTATTCTGTCTTTACCTGGGGATTTATTCAAGATCAAGTTTTTAATTTCGGTTGTCAGTTCTGGGAGTGTAAATGGTCTGAGAGGACGTGTTTGTGTCTTTGTTGCTGCATCCGTCAGCTTCTGTTTCTCAATGTCTAGGTCTTTTTGTGTCGTCTCGCGTTCCTTTTCTGAGCTTGTATGTCTGGGCTTAAATCGTTGTTCAAAGTGAGAGACAAATACTTCGGCTTTCTCTTCGTTACTCTTGGTCCATACGGGTCGTTGGTTAGAGTTCCCCGTCTGCGTGCAAATGGGCCAGTTTGGTTGTGGCTGTCTCTTGATTGTATTTGTTACTTTCCAGAGCTTTGCCATTTTGTATCTGTCTTGCGTGTTTATACCTTCAAATTGCTGATTAATGTTGTTTGTTTTTAATTTTTGTAATTTTTTCCTGAGGGTGTTCTGGGCGGCCTTGTACAGTGTTTTAGCCTCTTCTGTGTGGAATATTTTAAATCTGAGGTTCAGTTCGTTTTTTATTTGCAGAAGCGCTTTAGTTTCATCGTCTAGTTTATAGCGTGCTTTGTCCATCCTTCGTTGGCTGTTTGAATTCCCAGATCTTAATCTTTGATTGGAGTTTACATTTTTAGTGGCTAGTTTTATCGCGTCATGTATGTTTGTAGTTAGTATTTTTACTGCGTCGTCAATATCCAGTCCCGAGTGAATTTCCGTGTTTAAGTTTATGGTCTGTTCCAAGTGCTCTTTTACTCTGTTAATATTTGTTTTCTTTGTAATTAGTCGTCTGCCTATAGAACTTTGGGTGAATGTGTCGGCCCCATTTGTACACATTTCGATGGTTATTGGCAGGTGATCGGAGTCCAGACTGCTACATGAATGGATTTTCATCCTATTTACTGTAATACCCCCACAAACTGCAAAGTCGATGGCTGAGGGTCTTTTTCTGCTGTCGTATGGATAGTGGGTGGCACCTCCTGTGGCCAGGATGTTGTATCTGGCTCCAGAGCTCACAGCTTGCATCAGGGCACGTCCTCTCCTACAGGATCTGGGGTTCCCCCACCATGGATGCTTAGCATTCCAATCTCCGCAGCAAATGAACCCGGAGGTACCCCCCAATATGTTGTCAAAATGCAGGAGTAGTGATCTGAAATGATTCTCAGTCCAATTGAAGTTAGGTGGGCAGTACGTCGGTGCAACCACGATCATGTTTCTCCTCTTGTTGTTTATTGGGATTATTACAATTGGGGTACATTGAAGGAAATCGGTGCTAATGGGTTCCAGTGCAGCATGTCTAACATTTTCTTTCACATATACCACGACCCCCCCTTTTTTGTGGTTTATAGGATTGGCAGTGTGGTATGAGATATAGTTTGGTATTTTCAGTAGGTCAGCGCTCTGTTTAGTTCTAGTTTCAATAACCATCATAATTTGTATGTCCCCATTTGTCATGAATGTTTCAAGTTCAGCCATTTTATTTTTGATCCCACAGGCGTTCCAGAAAGCTATTTTAAGCCTGTTGGAGTTGGGCAGGTTTGCCCCGGTCGTGTCAAGAGTTTGTGGCGGAAAGTGATTGGAATGTGGGAAATGGTTTGCGTTATTATTGTTTGTGTTCATGTCTGTAAATTATTGGCTAGTTTAGTTAGATATAATGTATAGCAATGAGTTGTTTTATTGTTTGTTTTCTATTTGATTGAGGATATTTGTTGTTTTGTGATGTTCAGAATTGTTTGTAGTGTTATTTATATTGTCAGTATTTTTGGGGGGAGGGTTTTGCAGTAGAGTGTGAATTTGGCTAATTGACGCCATGATGTCCTTAATACTGAGCTCAATTACATTGAGCCTGTCTTCAAACCGCTTGTTCTCCTGTTCAGCGGGGCCCTCTGTCATTACTTTTGCAGACTGCGAGATCGCCATCTGCTCCTCCCTCAGTCTACTCTGGAATTTCTCTAGGTGGCTGGCGGCTGGGTTGACATTCGTGTCACCGGTTTTTGGAGCCCGTCCCTTCCCTATTCTGTCCATCTTATGGCTGGATGTTTGCTTGCTCCTTTCTCGGTTTCTCATCTTAGAAAGCCTTTTTTTTATTTCAGTGCTGTGGAGGCTCGGCTTGGGTTGGACTGTTCTGCCTGAGAAAGGGTTAGTGAAACCCCTCCCTGGAATTTTCCGCCCTTCGACATAGTCGCCCTCATCCTTTCGATGGTCACCTGCAGTAGTGGGGCCCCCTCTGTTTGGTTGGGGGTGCCTGGAGATCTCCTCCCATACACTCGGCCTCCCTAGTGCCTTCCCTATGCTCCTGTCCATATTGACAATTTTGTCGATTTTGAGCTTGCTTCTGGCAGCTTTGAAGGCCGGGCAACCCTTAAAACAACTGACATGCTCTCCGCCGCAGTTAACACATTTAGCAGGAGTGTATCTGGGTTTGGTGCATGTAGTTGAGAGATGGTCACTGGCGCACTTCATGCACTTGGGTGCGTTTTTACAGTAGTTCCTAGTGTGTCCGTAGGCCTGACATCTATGACACTGAAGCGGGTCCCTAGTCACCCATTTCCTCTCAAAAGCCACTGCCTGTCCACCTAGCTCGGAAATTTTTAAGATTTCATCATGAGAACCGTCCTGTTTATGCTCAATTTCAATTTCGAACATATTTATAGGCTGACCTGTAGACCTATGTTTCATATTGCTGGTGTATCTCACGATGTAGTGCCTTTTTTTAAGCTCAGAGGAAATCCACTCCCTTGTTGTTGAGTAATGCAAGTGTCGAAGTATATATCGAACACCCCGCTGCCCAATCTGCTGATGCGTGTGCATTGGTACTTTTTGGTCGTTGAGGAGTGTGGTGATCTTTTTATGGGCATCCATGTCAGCACATTGTATTCTGATCCCATTCCCAGGGGTACTTTTGGTTGTAAATCTACCTATTGCTGCTGTGTAGTTTAGTTTTTCCAAAAGAGGTACTATTGTTTTTACTCCTGAGATGTAAATGGAAGGTACCCTCTTACTCCTTGGCACTTCCTGCCATGGGAATAGGTCAGGCTGCTCAATCTGATCAGTATTGTTGGCAGTGAGCATTTCGCTGTGCATGCTAATTGGGGGAAGTGGCTGTCGTTGAAGATTGTTTGGCCCAGAACTGTCTTGGAATTCCCCTGTGTCAAGATCTTTCGTATTGGAAGGTTGTGTTAATGGCTGATTTGTCTTTGTAGGGTTAAGAATTTTAATTTTATTGAATTCTGAGGCAAATCTTTTGGCAGTGTCA